GCGGGGCTGCTATGAGTAGCAACATTTCAGAAGCACTCTTGCTGGGCTCATCCTCACTCATCACACTGCATTTGCTTTGATTCTGGCTCCTGGAGTCGTGCCGGATAACCAAGTGGCTCCAACTGCTTGTGATTTTTAAAATTCCATCAGAGGAGGAAGAGTACGGTTGGGGCGGGGGGACTGTCTTGGTGGGAAAGGTCATTTCTCTTCATGCCCCAGATGGATTTTACAAGTTTCCCTCTCTTTGAAGTATGTGTCACTCCCTCCTCCCCCATTTTCCTGTCCTAAGAGTTTTTATGGTGCCCCAGAGTTGAGGTATTTGACTGTATAATATTTAGAGAGAGGGAAATCAGGAATAGGCAGTAACTGGTTTCCATTTGGTTGGGGCACAAAGGGACTTGGAAGTGTGGGGTTCAGAGAAAAAGATAAATGGAATTCTTTAACTTTCTCACAAGATTCCAAAATCCTTAAAGAGATCAGATTAGGACTAAAGTCTGGCTTTGCAGCAAGTAGCTGAGGGGCAAAGCTGAGGGCAGCCGGGAATTGTCCTTCAGGTTCCTCTCTCCTGTGTCCCACAATAGCCTGGTCACCCAGCACTGTCCACCCCCTCCCAAGGCCTTTCCAATTTGGCTACTTGCCCCTTCTCTCTGGGCCTGCAAAGCCCCAGCCCCAAAGCATAGCCGTAGGCTCCTGGCTACACGTTCCCCCAGCCATCCCCTTGAATCCACTCTGATGTTGTTCTTGTTTGATTAAAAAAAAAAAACAGCTTTATGGAAATATAATTCACATACCATGCAACCCACCAATTAAAAGCATAGAGTTTGACATTTTTGGAATACTATCTTATTAATTTTCTGAAGTTGTAAAAACCTATAGAATTTGCTATTTCAAGGGTACAATTCAGTGGTGTTAATTACATTCACCATGTTGTGCAACCATCCCCACTATCTATTTCCAGAACTTTTTCATCACCCCAAACAACAGCTCTGGACCCATTAAGTAATAATTCTCCATTCTCCCTTCTCCCTGCTCTTAGTAACCTCCATTTTACTTTCTGTCTCCATGAATTTGCCTTTTCTAGATATTTCATGTGAGTGGAACCATACAATGTTTATCTTATTGTGTCTGGCTTATTTCACCTAGCATAATGTTTTTGAGGTTCATCCATGTTGTAGCATGTAGCATGTATCAGAAATCACTCCTTTTTACGTCCACATTTTGTTCATTCACTCATCTGATGATGGGTACTTGGGTTGCTTCTTCCTTTGGGCTATTGTGAATAATGCTGCAGAGAATATTGTCTTACGAGTATCTGTTCGAGTCCCTGCTTTCACTTCTTTTCGGTATAAAATCCCTGGACCCACTTTTGACCCCTCCAGTCCAGTGACACTCAGCAGCCAGACCAATCTTTTACCAACACACACCTGATCACCTCACTCATCTGTTAACAACATTTTGGTGGCTTAGGATAAAGATGGGAATACTCACAAGGACTTAGGGTAAAGATGGAAGTGCTCACCAAAGTCTCTGGATCTCTGAGCTCTGACTACCAACCTCTCTACATCACTATGCCCCGCCCTTTGATTTCTGCCCTGTTCGCTCTAGACTTCTCTCCATTCTTCTATGGAATACTCCTTTTGGATTTCACACATGCTGGTTTCCCTTCCTTCCTTCCTTCCTTCCTTCCTTCCTTCCTTCCTTCCTTCCTTCCTTCCTTCCTTCCCCTCCCTCCCTCCCTCCCTCCCTCCCTTCCTTTTTTATTTTAAGTAGGCTCCAAAACAGGGCTTGAACTCATGATGCTGAGATGGAGACCTGAGCTGAGATCAAGAGTCAGATGCTTAACTGACTGAGCCACCCAGATGCCCCACTGGTCCCTTTTTCTAAAATGTTCACCCTCCCAAACACCTAGCTTTGGCTAGTTTTTGCTTGGCAAACTCCTCCCACCTTTCCTATCCATCTTACCTTAAAAACAAAACACACGAACAAATGAACAAACTAAAAACCAGAAACAGACTCATAAATACAGAGAACAAACTGGTGGTTGCCAGAAGGGAGGGGCTGAGAGGATGAGAGAAATAGGTGAAGGGGATTAAAAGGTAAAGACTTGGGGCGCCTGGGTGGCTCAGTCAGTTGGGCGTCTGCTTTTGGCTCAGGTCATGATCCCACAGTCCTGGGATCGAGTCCCACAGTGGGCTACTTGCTCAGAGGGGAGCCTGCTTCTCCCTCTGCCTCCCACCCCTCCTGCTTGTGTACGTGCTCTCTCCCTGACAAATAAATAAATAAAATCTTTTAAAAAAATAAATAAAAGGTACAGACCTCCAGTTACAAAATGAATCAGTCTTGGAGGTGAAAAGGACAGCGTGGGGAATATAGTCAATAATATTGTAACAACATATGATGACAGATGGGGACTATACTTATTGTGGCGAGCATTTTGTAACATAGAGAATTGTCTCATCACTATGTTGTGCACCTGAAACTAACAAAACGTGGTATGTCAACTATACTCCAATGAAACATTTTTTTTAATTTAAGGAAGACCCTAACATCTCCCTCCCCACCTCCCACTCAGCTCCCCCTCTCTTTTGCTCCATGTCCCCTTTTAGTTTATGATTCTCCAGTCACCGTCTGTCTTCCTGTCTGTAATAATGACTAATATTGACCGAGCATTTACCAGCTCCAGGCCCTGTCCTACCCATGTCACCTGTATCAACTAATTAAAGTGTCACAAGCCTGAGACTTTACAGAGAAGGAAACCATGAGGGTGCATGGTTAGTAACTGGAGCCCACACTGGCGCCTGGAAACCAGTTAATGCCTACACGACTGTAGCAGCATCCCCCAGCCCTGTGGGAGCAAAGTTCCCTGACTGTGCTAGCCCCCACAGCCCTTAGCACACACCAGCTCATACCTAACACAGATGGGTGAATGGCTGGGATGCAAACTACACGAGGGACTCGAGTTTTGAGCAAACATTACTTACTCAGTGGCTCCTAGTGCTAGGCATCCTTACCTATCCACCCAGCCTCAATTTCCCCAACCGAGAAAGTGCACACTAATATTTATGTCCAAAAGTTATTGAGATTGACTTTTTTTTGTAAGTTTTAAAAAAAATTAATAATCTCCACACCCAACATGGGGCTGGAACTCACAACCTGGAGATCAAGAGTTGCATGTTCTACGGGACCAGCCAGGCACCTGGAGAAGGTTGAGTATTTTTTTAAATTAATTAATTAATTAATTAATTTGACGGAGACACAGCGAGAGAGGGAACACAAGCAGGGGGAGTGAGAGAGGGAGAAGCAGGCTTCCCGCTGAGCAGGGAGCCCGATGATGCGGGGCTGGATCCTAGGACCCTGGGATCTTGACCTGAGCCCAAGGCAGATGCTTAACGACTGAGCCACCCAGGCGCCCTGAAGGTTGAGTATTTTAATATAGATTTTAAAAAATTCACTGTGCCTGGTAGAATGGATCCTACTGAGCAAATACTGAGGTTTAGCATTTGCCACCCCACCTACAGACGGGGAGGAAGGGGCCAGAAATACCAGTTCCTCCGACGGAGCCCCTGCCCGAGCACTGTGGGACTCCAAGTCATCCAGCCCTCCTGGATCCTTGCGGCGCATCTCTAAGGAGGTCCCACAGGTAGATCGGCGCGTCTGGGTTTTTTGTCCCCAAGCCTCCCCGCCGCACTGTGCGGCCCTGGCAGTGGGGAGCCGGCTGGGGCAGTACGCTTGGTCCCGCCCTTGGGCCTCATTATCTACGTTTCCGCTTCAGGCCCGCCAAGAACTTGGCAGGGCCTCCCCGCGGTGTTCGGGAACACTTTGTGCCGAGCGCCCGCCGGCCCAGCCCTCCTCCCTGCCGCCGGCGCTCGCCCAGTCAGCAGGGTTTGGGTCGCTGGGGCCCCCTGGTTCCCGTACCCCGCGCGCAGCCACGATCCCCCACGCGCTCCCACGCACTTGTCCTCTGTACCCCCGAGCCCGGATCGCGCAGTCCGCTCCTCGCCCACGGGCTGGGCCTGGGTCACACCGCGCGTAATCGAGAGGTTCAGAAAGATGCGGTGGCCCATTTTAAAACAAAGCCCAATTATTTGCGCTCGGTGCTATTTATGCCGGGCCAGTGTCAGATCCTCTGGGCGCTGCGGACAACCAGTACCCAAAAGAAGCGTAGTCGGAGCAAGAAGAAAGAAACTGGCTCTGGAGCCATCTGACCCGCTTTGAAGCCCCCCTCCCCGAACCCTTCTCGTTCCCGTCCTGGCTGCGTTCGCTTGGGCAAAGCGCGGGGCCTCAGTCTCCTCCTCCGTGAAATGGGGTAACTGTGCATGCTTGGTAATTCTACACGAGGAGCTCCGCAGATCGCAGGGACGTCAGTGTTGGGGTCCCACACCTGCGGGACCCCACCTTCCGGCGGCCCCTGCCTCGGCCCCGCCCCGGGGCTGTTGGGCTCAACGCGCGGTGCTGGCTCCAAAGTGCGTCACGGGCACCGGCCGCGCTCCTCCCGCAGCCAGGGCGAGGCTGGCACCGGGCCAGCGCGGGCCGGGCCAGGGGTGCCGGGCAGTCTCCGGGGCGGGGACCCAGGCGTGGAAGGCGCTCAAGTTGCGCGGTCCTCGGTGCGCTGCTGGGGGCGCCCTCCGCGGCGGGCAGCGCGCCAGGGACCGGCCTCCACAGCCGCCGGGCGCGCGAAGGCTACACTTTCCCTTCGGCCCCCCTCGTTTCCTTCCCGCCGGGCGGCAGCGGAGATTTCCTCTCGGGGAAACTACGCGGATCCTTCCCGGGGCTTCTCGCCCCGCCCCACTTCTCCGCCCCCTCCCCTTTGCTGGGGAGCCGGTGCTGACCTGCGCTGGGAAGAGGCTCTGGCAGCCTGAGCCGGGAGGTGGCGGGGCGGGGGGTGGGGGGGGGCGCGGAGCCGCAGGCCACCGACTCGCCCCGCCATGTGACGCTGCCCTCCGCCCAGGGACCCCCGTCGCGCCCCGGGCCCGCGCCCGCGCTGGGTCGCGCCGGGCACCATGCTTCTGCCTGGACACGCGCGCCCGCCGCCCGCCCCGCAGCCCGCGCAGCATCCTGGACTCCGCAGGCAGGTAGAGCCTCTCGGGCAGCTTCTGCGCCTCTTCTACTGCGCGGTCCTGGTCTGTTCCAAAGAGATCGCAGCGCTCACGGACTTCTCCGGTAAGAAGCGCCCTCCCTCGCCCCGCGCCCCCGGCGCCGCGGTGCGCCCAGGTGAGCCCTCCGCTGGGGGCAGCCTTCCGAGGGGGCACGGCCGGGTGGGATTGAAGTTGAGGCACGCTCGAGCCAGTTTTCCTGCCTGGTGTGAGCCTTTGGCATAGAGGTGGCTGCGTGTGGAGTGATGGCACAGGAGCCCCTCCCCTCCCCAAGGAAGGGGGGGTAACATATTTGGAGTTTCTCGCCCTGCTGTTTACCTCGTCAATTTCCCAGCATCGGGTCCGGCATCAGGGACCCGACTCTGACGGATGCGTGTCCCCTTGGAGGCTCCTAAGCCCTGTGCCGCGCCCAGCGCCGTACAATACACGTGCTGGTCCGAGGAGTTGCACTTGTTCTGCACTCGCATGGTCCCGGTGCGCCCCAGCCAGCCTCTCGGGTACCCATGTAAGGAGACTAGCCCGGGGGACGTCTGACCTGAAGTCTGAGTCGGCAGGCAGGGAGGGAAGCCCGCCGGGAGGTCCGTGTGCCAGATGAGCAGAAGTTTACAGAACAGAGACTGGGGGGCGGGGGCGGGGGGTACCAGCGCCCCCGCCTCCCTCCAGTCCCAGTCTCCTCTACAAAAAATAATGACTCCCTCCTCCCAGTAAACGGTGAGGCTTTTCTTTGGGGAGACTCACACCGAATCTCCCGCAGGTGATATCAGTTCTGGGGTTGTAGGTGTGACTCCACGAAGTGAGAAGTTTCTGGGTTGATAACGGCTGCAGGAGCCACATTTTTGTATTACCAATGCACTTGCTTAGAGCAACAAAGTCCTTGCAGTTGTAACAGACCTGGGTCTCCCTCTGGTGAAGCTGGAGGCCTTCACCCTTCCCCAGACCCTGCCCAGCCCAGGAGGCAGCTCTGAACCCCACTCTCCCCCTTCTCCAGGGATCTTCTGGCAAGTCCAGGCTTTTGCCTGCAGGGTCTTTTGCAATCTAATCATGGTAAACGGAGTCACTGCTCACCCCGCTCTGTAGAAGACTAGTACATGGCAGAGAACACTGGCAAACCAGAAGCTGAGTTGGGTTTCTAGTTTACTTACAGAGAATGTCATTGTTAGCTGAGAGCCCTTAGGTCAGAGGTTCTTTGCTTTGAATATTTAATATCAAGGCAGTGTTTCTACCTAGCAAAGGAAGCCAAGATATGCCTATTTGGCAAGCAAACCGTGGTCCTTAAAAATCGAGCACCACAGGGTCATAATGCTGTGGTAAATGTGTTAGGGAAATGATTTTCAAGTGCTATTGACTTTTTTTTTTTTTGGTAATAGAACTTTTCTTGGCTGCTCAAAAAGTTCTGTATTTGCTGATTTAAGCTATGGAAAGCAGTTCTGAATCCGCCACCCTCTAGCTCTGAATATTGTGGCGAAAGCACTGAAAGATGACAAGCCATTTTTTTTCTTTCTTTTTTTTTTTGGTGACATCATTGCAACTGAACAAATATTGCTTTAGGTTAATTGCGGTGTAACCATTAGATTGTTTTCACAGATTATAGACACTCAGAGTTTGTTTCTTTAGTGAAGCAGTTGCAGTATTTGTGGCGGTCTGTAGGTTACCACCTAAGTTCAGAATTGTCTGTGTGTAGTGACCGTTCTAGAAGGTGTGCTGGAGCTATCCAACAAGGGCGCCTCATTCTAAGGGAAATGGATATTTTGATACATGTTCTTCTAAATGACAGTAAATGACAAAAGAATTATTTCCTTCTGCTTTTGGTGTGAACCTGAATTCCACAGTTTAAAACTCCCTGAGCTGGTGGTAGGTGGTGATATGGACAGGTCCATCCACAAGCAGCCCCCATTTTAACTCTGATCAGCCTTGCTCCTCAGGGATCTGAGGGCTAGGGAGAGAGTGTCAGGGAGCCTTTTTGGGAGAAGAAAAGAAAAAATAATACATCCTCCCAAAGCACCGACACGTTCAGGTTTAAATCTAAATGCTATATTTTGTGGCATTGGGGAAACATTAGAGAAGGCTCAGAGAGAAAATGGAGTCTCTTGAAGTTGATCGATTTGACTTGAAACCTTTAGGGACCCCCCTAACTGTGTGATATACAGCACTGAGGAAAATTCCCAAGCTCCAATGATGACTGTCTGAGGGTTTAGTTGAATGCTTTAGTCAAAGCAGTGGATACTGATCATGTAATTCCAAAACCCCCTCCCCCCCACCCTCGGGTCCTCAAAACCTGGCACCTGCTTTCCTGGGGACAGGTGGTCCTGCTCTTTTTTATGAACTTGGAGGCATTATAAACCAGAGGTCTATAAGGGAGACGTGCCCCCCCCCCCTCCCCAAGCCTTACAAGAATAGCCCAGTGCTGGGGAGCAGCCTTCCACAATGCAGATACTTGCTTGTTTTTCTAAACAAGGGAAACATCAAAAACTGAGGCTGGTGGGGGGGCGGCACTTGGGAGCCCTTTGCCCTGGGAAGACGGGGATGGAAGAAGGATGGTGTTTCCACATGAAAGAAAGTACCAGAATGTCAGGGGTCCCAGCCATTGTATGTACAGTATAGGGCCTCGCAGGAGATTAACAGTGTAGAGTTTTGGAAAGTTACTTAAGCCTTTCTCTTCTTTGCAACTCTTCCTTGAGGCTTTTCCTGGGGCTGTCAGCTGGTGTAGTTTTCCTGGGTCATTGATTTTTTTTTGCCCTGAGGATTCCAGCATCGGATCTCACTCTTAATAAGCCAGGGGACCGTATCCTGGCCTCTGCCTCCCCCTCCATGCTCGTGACTTGTGCTAATCACCTCCAAGCCTGCTGGGAAAAAGGCTCCCCAAACACCCCCTTCCCTCTCATCCCTGAAGATACTGAGATGCTGCCAACAGCCACTGGAAGGCTGTCATCACTGCATTAAAAACATATCCCAGGAAGACAAGATCAGTTCATGCAAAACTAGTGCCTATGATCCTTAAGCCCATACTCAAATACACTTGGCTTGCGTCCATTTTCCTCCTTGGGATGGAGTTCTGGTTTTTTGACTGCATTCTCAAATTGGGGATTTGGCCTGAGAGGTCCAAACTGATCATTGATTTTTTTCCCCCCAAACAGAAGTGTAATGTCAGCATCATCTTTGTTCAAAGAATGAGGCAGGGATGAGGGCTGAGGGGACGGAGGGGTGCCATCTTGGGTTCCAGCCATAAAAAGCAAAGGATCCTCCACATTTTGTCCTGCTTTGAAGAGCGATGTTCCAGGGTGTCTCTCAAACTTATTTTTGCTGAGTTGGGTTTCTCAGGTCTTGTTCATTTTTTTTTTCTTGGTGATTTTTCTCTCCATGTCCCTCTGCTGAAGGCCAGCAGCATCTTCTCTTGTCTCCCTGCGTACCCCCTTTCTTTCTTTTCTTTCTTCTCAAAGAAGTTCAGAGTGATTGATGGGCTTGTTGAGAGGGGTGGGGAGAGATGGGGGGGTGGAAAATCGTTCTAGTTCCCACTCGGAGTCCTAGAAAACTCTCGACTTTTGACAGAGTAGGCATGAGCCTATGTCCACACGTTTGGTTTCACCCTGGGGCATCTAGTAGTGAGTGTGGGAAGCAGAAGGGAAGGGAAATGAAACACAAGGAGAGTGGGGCAGCCTTTAAGGTCTTCCTTATACCAAACTGTCCCCAGACCTCGAAGATGGAAGGGGTTCTCTGGGCAGATGTCTTGCTCCCTTCCCAAGCAAACCAGTAGCCCAAGCCAACAAGAAGTGGTGCTTGTTACCAGATCATTTGCAGCCCAGCAAATAAACCCAACCCTAGCTCCTTATTTCACTGGCCAAGAATTTTGGAATGTAGAAAATGGTAAGTCAGTTGATCTTGAAGCCTCGGGGGTGGGAACCAGGTCCTGATGGAGGGGATGCAGTTGTCCATTTAGGAGAGAGCAAACCTTCCCGTCCAGCTCAGATAAGCAGTGGGTCTCCATCCTGGTGGCACAGGAGAATGGCTTCAGTCTGAACAAATGTAGGGGTGCTCAAGCAGCACACCAGGGCTTCTCGCGTAACTGGCCTGGGTGGGAGGCAGGCATTGGCCTCATTTTGAAAGTTCCCAGGCAACTCTAGGACAGCCAAAGTTGAGAACCACTGCTCTGGTGTTCAGAGGGCAGGACTACCTCCTGCGTGCATGGGTTCATTCAGGGGCGCACAGGCATGACTGGCTGTCCTTTCACCGTTCCTCCAGGAGCCCCCACCAGGGAGACCGGGACTGTATTTTCCCAGCCACTGGTTTGTCTCTGCATCCCAGCACACACACAGAGTTCTGCATTTTCTTATGCCTTAGTCACATCAGCCCTTTATTCAAGGATTGTCTTTACTTTTCACAAATTTTATGGGATGAAAAGCCAGCTCATAACCAAAGAAAAACAAGCCCAATGTCTGAAGGAGTTGTCCAGCTGTCACAGAAGAAGAGAGATGAAGAGAAGCGTCTGAAGCTGCTAGTCTGTTTCCATGGGAAGTAACTACATTTGAAAAGTGTTCTGCTGGCTCTTTCTGTAGCAGGAAAGAGGAGTCTGGGCCAGTGAGTGGCTCCATTATTGATGGCTCTGCTCTCCCAGGCACTTTATTGGAAAGGGCAGCCTCGCAGCAGTTTCGGGGAAGGGACAGAAAGGCAGGGAGTAAAAGTTAATTGAGCACTGTGTTATCTGATTTCTTCCTCATAGCAGCCCTACGAAGTCAGTATTAGCCTCACTTTCCAGATGAGAACCCAGCCCCGGATAGGTTGGCTAACCTGCCCAAGACCACCCAGCTGGGACACAGAGCAGAGGCAGACTCTGACATGAGCCTGGGGGAGGGGGCGGCTGGGGCACTTGGCCTCTGTGGGTGCTGGGTGGGGAGCAAGCCAGAGGAGAAAAAAGGTGCCACAATCTGCCTAAACTTTCGAGATAGTTCATGGCGTGACCACCGTCGGCTGTACCAGTTGCCCACTGAGTAGACTGACCTTGCCCCATTCTGTCCTTCAGTACCTTTTCTACCCAGTCCATCCAAAGTGGGTGCACACGGGAGGCGATCCAGT